AGGGTTAACTGCTCAGCTGCAGTTGTCTAAGATCCCTGAGTCGTCACGTTCTATACACCGTGTATAGGACATGATGACGCTGAGGGACACTCCGTCGCTGCAGCAGAGGAGGAGAGGCTGGAGGGAGCGTTGTCACAGCCAGCCGGCTCCAGAGAATCGGGTGAGTACAACTTTATTTTCCTCCTTAGACCAAAACAAGCACCTAACCCTTGCAGTGTGGGGGTTAGCCCCACTGCAAGGTCTAATAAAAAATGCCCCCGGAGTTCTGCTTTGAAGATGAACTCCAGGCAAACTACTAACTAGACAAATAAAATGCATCTGAGTGCTGTTATGCCAAAGGATTTATATTCCTGTCCATTCAGTCTGAAGACTAAAGTTGGCCATACACCTATTGATTATCTGCAGATTTTCTATGGTCAGATGGAAAAAGTGCAACAGATTCCTCCGTCTACGCCAAACTGTGTGGGTGGAAGAATCTCCCACTCGGCCAAGCTTCACTATCTTGCTAGTCGGCCCAGCCGGCTGTCAAAATACCGGAACAATCTGATTGGATGTAGGCATTTGTGTCCTTTTTCAGCTATGTAACCGTGTCATTTAAAAATAGTCAAAAAATTTACCTTCAGCCAATCGGTTCGCGTGTAACAACCGGCTGGAGTTCACATCCTGATACGCGCGAGCCGATTGGCTGCAGATGACATTTTTCATCTCGACACGCTCAGCTACTGCACTTCATCTCGACACGGGTCACTATGTCGCCCAGAAGAAGGGACCCTGCGTGGCCCTGAAACGCTGGCTGTTTGACGCATGTGACGATTCAATAAAAAGTGCTTTACTTCTTGCACATATCATTGAGTGCTGGTGTCTTCTATTATGGACTGTATCTGACACGGCGCCATCCGTGTTGTCACTTCAAGCACCAACCTCTCATCCAAGGTCTGTACGCTGTGTGGAGTGCAGGTGATTTCATATTATCAACTATGAGAGCTCTCGCAAGCGGACGTGCCGGGGAGAAAATGACATGACGCACTGCACGCAAAGGCAGCGCGCCTCCGCTCTGCTTCGCGTGCGGTGCGTCACAGCCTTTAAACTGTTTTCATGCTTAAAACCGATATCTATACATAGAGGGCACATATTTGGCATGCTTGTACTCCGGAGAACTTGACAAATAAGTCATTTCCTCAGGCAGTTATTCAATGGGTTGGAAAAACAACTGAAACACTGGGGGGAAGCCATGTTTTTATTATTTTGCTAGATTTCAATTATTTGACATTTAAAAGAAACTGATATTGACTTTACAATTCTGCCAAAAAGGAGCCCGATCTGTCAAAAACAAATGTAAACTGTACTCTCCTTCACAAAACTGTTGTCAATATTCTCAGTTAAACTGACAAGGGCAAAATGGTTAAATGCGTACCAGTCGCATGATATGAAGTGCCCCCAAGTTGAAGGGGCATGATATGAATTGCCTCCAAGTTGAAGGGGTTAAAGTAACTCACACTTACAACCACTTTTTTTCGGGAACTTAATTCTCAGCACTGTTCCATTTTTGTCACGAAGACAGAGCTTTCTGTACCATGAAATTCTGTAACTCCAGTTTCTAACACTGAAGCGCCACCCAACACCTACCTATCCCCTGCCAAAATCGTTTAAGAAGCCCTGTCACCAACTTAAAGTGCAACTCAAGCCAAAACATTTTTGTTTTCATTTTGGATAGACTGGGGAGGCGTTAAAACACTTGTCGGGTTCTTATTGCTGTGTCCATGTTAGGTGACCATTTGTCAATGAAAGTAGAAGAAAATCCCAATTTTTGGGTTGTCGGAACAAGAATAGATGTGAAATACTGCAATGGGGACATTAATCCTGGTCACCCTGCAGACCACCAGGGAATTTCTTTGGAGGGGGATTTCCTCTTGCTCCCTATATCGGCTGTCGGACAGGAAGTGAAGGGAAATCAGCCCAATGGGACACAGATGGCAAAAAAAAAAAGCCGTTGATCATAACTCTCCTTTTCTCTATCCGAAAGTATAAGTAAAACTCGCTGTAAAATCATTTTCTCTGCATTTATTAATAGACCGAGCAGAGAACTTGAATTTCTATTCGATGCTCCTAAAGTTGGCAATATAACTCATCGGTTTGAAATTTAAGATCTCCATTGTGTCCTTCAATGAACGGAAGAGGAAAAGGGTTTGACTTCCGTTCCACTTATTAAAAAAATGCAGGTAAAGCACAGGAAAATCAAGTATTTCAAGTATGTTAAACGCTTACTTGCAGCATTTTTCCTTTCCATACATAATGTTTTTTACTTGCAGTGTGCCTTAAAACTTGCTAGGGATTTGATATTCCAGAGAGTGTCTATTGCCTTGCACATCACAGTTCTCTCCTTTTCTTGGAATGTCTAATTACTGTCTGTGCTGGCCCAATAGCTATATTTTGGCAATTATGTCAGCCAGTATCCCCTGGGACTTGAACACTGCTGGGACACTGTCGGCAGGTACATGAATTTGCCGCTAGTTGCGACATTTGTCGCACAGACGGACGCCGGAGTTTATACGAGTGTCTACATCATTCTTTAAGAATTACATGTTATGTTGTTGTTCTTTTCACATATTTTAGGAAGAATGAACTGATGAATTATACATTTTCTGTGTTATGTAATTAAAAAATTGGGCAAACTCTGTCTTCTCTTATCAAGGGCCTTTTTCAACCGATAAGAATAATAAAGTTAAAGGAGAACTATGAGGTGAGTGCTTTTCACTCACCTCATAGTTCTAGCCGACCTGTGACAATGAGACTGTCACAGGTCGGCTCAGTAGATCGGGAGATGAGCGAACACATACCGGGTTCACTCACCTCTCGATCCAGGCACGGCTCTCTGCCGTGACAGCGGAGGGGCTGAATTCCCCCCGCTCCGATCTGTCAGCGCTGACTGGCGGAACGGACGGGGGAGAGGGCGGGTACAGCTGGGTCTCCCTCTAGATAGGCAGAGCCAGCTGTCAGTCACGCAGCTGGGTGGATCCCGGCACAATTGTCGGGATCCGCTTCAGCTGCGGCGTCTCAGTATACCGTGAGCAGCAGCTCGCGGTATACTGCGGCGTCTCAGTATACCGCGAGCTGTACTGAGCCTAGGGTGACGGGAGGATGCTAGTTTGTGTCCTCCCGTTACCCTAAGGAGAACTATGGGGAAAAGCCTTAACCCCATAGTTCTCCTTTTAAAGGGATACTATAGCATATACTGTATACAGCGTGTGTGTGTGTGTGAGAGAAAATTGTGCGGTACACAGCTCTTGTTCCTTCTTTAATCTGCTTTCTTTCTCCTTCTTTCTTCTTCCTATTATTCTATATTTATATAGTGCAAACAGTTTGCACAACGCTTTACAAAATAAAAGGAGACCGAACAGTTACAAAACAGTTTAAGAAAAGAGGTTCAGGAGGGCCCATGAGATCGTACGATCTAAAAAAAACTTGAACTTAGAAATCGTGTGTGTGTGTGTGTTTTAAGATATTGAACCCCAAGAATAAACAGGTAATCTATTGCGGTTTTCAACAACTACAGAAGATACCTGTTGATCTTGCCAGAAATGCCGTGTCCTTGTCACTGTATACGAGATGGCCTGGAGACAAAAGCAGTGTTATCTTTTATCTGTAAACTACTAATGGCTCCTTCCATAGATCTAGTGGAGAAATGAGCGTTGCCGCCCAGGGACAAAAATGGTTATTGGTAAGATCATCAGGTGAAAATAATTGCAGCATTTGTTTGTGTTTTGCACCAAGTCCGATTGCACTGTGGACGAGGGGCGTGGCTCTGGTGACATTGACTCCAATGCACCGCCATGAAGTTTAGTGTGCTACCGCTGTGGAACGCACCGTAATTGGTGTGAACTAGCCCTCAGTGTTTTATGAACATGAAAATGACCAAGGGGGGTGAATACTTTTTGTAGGAATGGTACAGGGTATATTCATAAAGCAGGGAATGTGAACTTTACTAAACATTTACTGCAGTCAATCTTTATGGTATATGTGTTTTTAAATTGCAGTGAATGTTTGGTGAATTAATGGATGTTCAATTCACTGTTTTACAAATTCTGCTTTATAAAGCAGATTTAAAAATGTATATACAGGATTGCTATTAAATCAAAGCTTTCCTCCAGGCAAATTCATTGACAGGCCCCACCAACTGGGTTTGAGAAGATGGTTCCGTCTTTACGATCGTGAACTCCGCCTGATCACGAATCAGCCCATCTATGACACATCACACTCTGACCACGACTACCAGTCCTATATGGAAGGATCAGAACCACACTATACTTCAGGGGCTTCCAATGTAAATAGGGCACTAAATAATAGACCAAAATAATTGTTAATAAGACCCGTTTCTGCACTCATTGCACACATTTCCAAGCAATATTCTCTAATGCCTGCCTATTGGTACATAAAGCGTAGCTAAACACAAATATGAAAATTTTTATATATTGCAGCTTACCAGCACTTAGATTTTGTGACTGCATTCGTTCTATTTTCTTTCAGGTTTTTCCCCCTTATTTTAACATGGCAATACAGTACTGCAAATAACATGATCCCTGTCCCTTGGTGGTTACACTCATTTCTCCACTGTATTTATGCAAGGAGCCATGGTTGGCACACAGGCTGAGCTTCAAACATGTCTGCCTTTGTTTTCTCTCCATCACATGGTAGTTGATTGGATTAGTAGTTTACTCAAGAATGGTGATTTTGTTGCGGTCTTGTCATCTCGCTGGAAGTGACAAGGACACTGCATTTCTGGCAAGATCAACATGTATTTTCTGTACTTGCTGAAAATGTCAGCCACCATGTCTAAAGACTGGTAAGCGGTAATATATTTAGTTTTGGATTTATCGTTTTGGATGTACTGTGGATATGCTTAAATACATCCAGTGAGGGTCATAGAATAAAATCTTTTTGAAATATATAAAATGTGTGTGTAAACATGGTAAAAGTACTGTAAACATTGCTTATCCTGACAGGAGCAGCTTGACTCAGATAAGCTCCAGTTTCTGGAAATGAAAGATGAACGGGACAAGCTAATATCTGCCCTTTCCAGTAAAAATGAAGAAGTTCAGCATTTAAAAACTCGCTTAAAAGAGGCCAACGAGAGGCGAGAGAGGCAAGATTCCAGAACAGTCCATGGGCATGAAGCGGAGGTAAGGAGACGCCTGTGGAGGTGCAAAATGAAAGTCTCATATAAACAGTAATAATTTACAGCGGGTAATTCAACAGAAATGTATTATGGTTTAATATCCAGAATGCTTCAATAATGATCTTCGGCATTGACCGCATACTGGCAGATATTTAAAAAAAATCTTCACTGTGTAGAAAGTAGAACAGATGCTTTTCAGCTTTTACAGTAGAGTCACTTTACTGCAGACCTAAAGTCTCAGTCCTTGGTCCTTTACAACCCCTCTCTTGTGCTTTAATTCTGGATTCCACAAACAGATCTCCAGCAATCGCCTATCAAACAATCCATGTTGGTTAAGCTTTAGGTCCCAGCTATACCTGTTGCCTAAGGTGAGACTGGGAAGTCATGTAAACACTAACCAATCAGCGGCTTTGGCCAAACACCATTCCTGGTTGATGGTGTTCTTGAGATCCTGCGGATAAACCAAAGCCCTTTTGAGACACCTAGATCCTTTTAACTAGATTTCCCCCCCGTTGCTGTATTCCTGTTGCATGCTAGGAGTGGTCAGAGGACAACCTCTGTTGTGCTAAATACTGGACTTCCAAAAGAGATCTCCGGAAATCGCCTATCAAACAATCCAGGTTGGTTCCGCTTTAGGTCTCGGCTATACCTATTGCTTAAGATGAGGCTGGGAAGTCATGTGATCCCTAACTGCTAACTAACTTTGCTGAAATGCTATTAAAGGTTGATTTATGGTGTTTGTGTGATCTTGCAAGTGGGCCAAGTCTTTCTTTTTCTCAGACCTTAGCACAGCATGGAGTTTGTAAAGGACCATGGTCCTTCTGAGACTTTTAGTCCTCTTACATGCACCCAGAGAAATATCTAGCAGTTCACTAGCAACCTAGTGGTGTCATAGCATAGTTAGCAAGGACTCGGGTTGCCGAAGGCCACTTATAAACCAGAATTTCTGCTGCATCAGGTATTTTCTTAGGCTTGTCCTTATTTCCTATATTCATATTGTTTACCTGATCTTCTATTAGTGCAATTGTCGGTTTTAAAATATGTCCGCTGTCTGCTGGTTATAATTACAAAATGACCCAAAAAAATGATGATAGATATGAGAGATGGATATAGGCACCCTCTGCTGTTTGCATATATCTAGCAATTGCATTTATTTACTGACCATGTTCTAATGGTGCCTGCACACATTTAAATCAGATCCCGATTTCATACTCCGGTTTTTGGATCTACAGAAAATCATACTATACATGGGCATTTTTCATTCTCTTTGCATCAGTTTTTTTTAAAGAAAAACTCCAGGATTTTTCAAATGAGCCCTTGTAGTGGCTCTACCCCAGCACTGCAACGGTTAACTGCTTAATTTTGGTCTAGGGATGAAAATAAAGAAGATATACTCACCCGATCACTGGCCCAGGCTGGTCCCCGCAGCCTCTTCTACCCCTGAGCTGGGGCGGTCTAAGGACCCGTGATGTCATTGCGTCTAATTCAGATTCATTAGATGTGAGGACGTCAAGAAACATACCACAGGCGGGCAAGAGGGGTGAATGGTCACTGCTGCAGGACTGAAGATCGGGAAAGTATATCTTCTTTATTCTGGCCCCTAGACCAAAATTAACACCTAACCCTTGCCGTGAAGGGGTAGACCACGGCAAGTGTTCATTTAAAAAAAAAAAAAACCTGGAGCTCTTCTTTAAGGTGGAGAGGATGAAACCAGGCAGGATGCAATGGGATGGCTGGTTTCCAATGGTTTCTTGTTATTTTAAAACCTTTTAGTCCAGTCTGTTAGATTATCCCTATCCATCTCATTCAGATATAATATTATGTTTTTTAGCACTACAGGTCCTCTTTAAATGAGCTCACTAGTCTGTAAGTCACTGGAAAAAAAATAGATTTTTTTGTTTGTTGCGCATGAAATCCGGTATTGCATTACCTTTCATTTTGTAATGTGAGCTGGTTGTTGGAGGCAACAACTGCTCTTTCCTATATGATGGAGTTTGTAAGAATCTGTTGTGATCTTTCTCACGTCAACCTGCCAGCCTCCAGCTATCCTGTTGAGTTTCGGTTACAACTCCGTCATCCATTTGTGGAAAATGCATTGGCTGGCCACTAGGAGATGGTATAACACTGCAGTACATTTTGTTTTTCGTGTTGTGCACAATCTATTTCTATCTCTTTGTTATTGTCACATCATATCCATCCATTTATGCCAGTCTGACGGAGACTAGACTTGACAATGATCAGTGTTTTTAAACCAGCATTGATTATAGATGATTTTCAATACCCGTCAATCTTAGATAAACCTGAAATGAAAACGCAAAACTGAACTGAAATGCTTTTGTTTTTCGTGCTTGTTAAGGTGTACTTTTTATTTTATTTTTCATGAGATGAGAAATAAAAACATGATTCCAGACGTTTCTGCTGCTCCTGTCGCCAGTGAAAATGAAAGGTAAAGTACATTAACGTTATTGACTACAATGGTTGTTCTTCCTAAACATGCAATGTAAATAGATGCAGAAAGTGATGAAAAGAAATTAAAGGCCAACTCTGGGCTAGATTTAACAAAAATGCCCCCCCCCC